CGCTCGCACAGGGAGGCGGTCGAGTGGCGCGATTTTTCCCGGCTGTTACCATATATACATGCTAAAAAAACAATAAAAAGTTATTTTTATAAGCTTTTGAGCTTTCAAAAAAAACAGGAGAAGAGTTTGAACAATATATTAGCTAGGTGATAGTATATGGGGCATACGAAAGCTTGTGAAATTTTTGGTCAAGCTACAGACAAGAACTTCTCCAGATCCATTTCTTAAAAATTTTCTAAGTTGCAGCTTATCTTTGAATGGTTCTCTCTTGTTATGATTCTGAATCAAAGTAGACACCTTGTACGTCCTTTATTATGGAATTTAATACAGATTAAAATCTGAAAACTCCATATAATATAGAGCCCACAGCGGATTGCCCTTAGTGGCAGCCAAAATCGCGCCACTCGACACACACCCCGCTCACCTACCTCGCACCTAATCTGTAATGGCCCAGGCATATTCGCACTGAACGCGAGTGATACAAAATTGCCATAGGGGAAGAACTTAGCTTGATTATATATGCCCGCAAGATTATGATTTATGCTCAAAAAGGAAAGGGATAGATATTTAGGATGAGGAACTCTCAAAGGAATGAAAAAACAAAGGATCAACAGCAGCAAAAAGAACACTATTTTTTAAAGTAAATACGAATTGACAAACAAAGCTCTAACTCAATATAGAAGAAGATAATCTTAAGTATGATTTCACAAGTGAAAGAAATAGTTATTCAACAATCGTTACTGTTCATCTCCATTCATGTTTCTTCCTCCTTGTTCATTGACTCTATTCATTTTCCTCCCGACTCCACTAATGTATTTCTTGCACGTCTCTGGTATTATGGTTTTCCAATACGAAACAATCGCTACCTTCAAATCGTCAAGATTTCGAATGCGCTGCTTCCTAAGATATCCGAAAATTTTATGCTTTTACATTAATTGATGGAAATCAATAATAACCGTATAAAGCTTCATGTTACCCCACACAAGTTCGATAGGATTTAAATCAGAAGACTCTGCCAGCCAATCCAAGGTCTCTATATCCCGTTCTTCAAACTTGTTTAGGGTACGGCTTGTATGGGCTGGTGCGTTATCCTGCACCAATCTGCCAAATCCTAAATATATTAAACCTTCGTACAAACACCACAACAAACTGATCTACTCTGCAGAGTTCATAAGCCAACTAACCATCATGGACATTTTGCAAAAGAGGAATGTAGCATTTTTCGAGTATCCTGCAGTAAATCTCGCTATTTATGCGGCAGTTTCCTCCTAGTATAGCCAGCTGCGTGGTTCCTCGTCAGAAATTCCACCGCAGATATGTACTTTGGCAG